AGAAAAGTGCAAAGAGATGGAGAAAGCTGCGGCTATTGGTGATAGTCGTAACCTTTTCCATTTAATTAGGAATACGAGCCCTAGGAAAATAGGCGAAAGTGAGGTAATTAGGGATGCAATGGCACACTGATTCACGATCAGCAACGTCGTCTTGACCGCGGGGCTGAACATTTCACGGCTCAGTTCAACTGGCCCCCATCGACATCTTATCTTTCACTATCCGCCTCGACTGGACAAATACTCTCAGTTGATGCTAGTCCTCAATCTGAAATGGAGGTATCTCGGGAAATAAGGTATCTCAAAAGGCATAAGGCCTCTGGCTCAAATGGGCTGTTCCCATCAGCATTTAAGGATTGAGGCTCGGTGTAGGTCTTGGAGTTGACAAAACTCCTGNTGGGTTCGGAACGGGAAAGGGAAGAGGTAACAGCTGAATGGTGTGAGTCGGTGATCATACCGATTTACAAGAAAGGTGACAGATCCTCTTGTGAAAACCATGGAGGAATTAGTTTAATCAACATCGTCTCTGGCATCGCTGGTATTACACCCCGCCGATTGTCTGCCGCACGTGCTCGGTGCACACGTGAGAACCAGGTTGGTTTCAGACCCGATCGAGGTTGTATCGACATCTTCACTCTGCGCCAAATTCTGCAGCAATGGCATTCTTTTCGTAGACCCACCATCTCTGTCTTCCTAAATCTGAAAGCGGCTTTCAACTCAGTCGGCCGCTTTAAACTCTGGCACTGCCTTTTTCTGAAACGTGTGCCGGAGAAGTTGATTTCAATATTACGATCGTTTTATACTCATAGCCGAAGTCGAGTCCGAGCTTACGGCACTTTTTCGCCCGAGTTCACGACGGAAAGTGGTATTCGTCAGGGTTGCCCTCGTTCTCCATTTCTACTTAACTTTGTTATAGATCTGATTATGGAAACAGCCCTATCCTCGTACGAGGATAGTGGCAACGATTTACTCCCAGGTAGTAGACTGTCTGATCTAGAATATGCAGATGACATTGTGCTGCTAAGCGAAGATGCAGGTAAGTTGCAAGCTTTTCTGGATAGTCTGAGTGCTATTGTAGCCACGTTCGGCATGCGTTTTGCACCTTCAAAGTGTAAAATGTTACTACAATACTGGGTTGGTTCAGCTCCCAGCCTCATTCTGACTGAGGAAGTAATAGAGCAGGTGGATAAGTTTTGTTTCTTGGGCAGCTACATCTCACCAGGTGGACGCATCACGGATGAAGTGTAAGCTCGCATACCGAAGGCTCGGTTGGCATCTGCCAACTTGAGACATCTGTGGCGCCGTCGCGATATCCGGCTGTCTGTGAACGGTCAAGTGTATGCCGCGACAGTTCGGCCAGTCCTGCTATACGGTGCAGAAACTTAGCCACTAAGAAAACAGGATAAATACAGACTGTCGGTGTTTGAACACCGCTGTCTACGCAGCATTGCACGAATACGGTGGGGTAGCCGGATGAGCAATGCTGAGGTTGGGTGCAGAGTTTTGGATATCCGCGGTCGCCCACTGGAGCAAGTGATCGACCTCCACAGATTACGCTGATTGGGGCATGAGTTACGCATGTCACCATATAGGTTGCCACGGCGAGCGATATTCGCCGAAGCAGACATCGAGTGGAAAAAAGCCAGGGGTGGTCAAGCTGAGACCTGGCATGAGGATATGACAACCCTAACCAGGGGACTGGGTCACATAGGTCCCGTTAGGCTTCCCGTCTGAGGACCTCGGGATGATCGTAACCGAGTGATATGGCTGGGTGTCGCAACCAGTGGTGTTCGTGCATCTTCTCAATTTCTTTGCAACCTTAGTTCACTGAACTTCTTCATTTTCCGTTCGACTCCACTTTCAATTTTCCTTTCTTCTCCTATCCTTCATCTAAATGGGTAGCCAGAAAATAGCAACAAAACCGGCGCTTGAATATGCGTGGTTAATGGTTGTACAAACTGAACTGATAAGTCGCCCAGAGAAATGATTGTTCTTGAAGGATTACCTGCCCCAATGCGGTGAATAAATTAAACCTCCAACTATCCACGATAACACTGTTTAATAACGATACGGTTTCCATTGTACGTTTTAGTCCATTTATCTAAATTGTTAGAACAAAGCCACATATTTGACTGCTTTCCCTCTCTGGTTTGCCGCTCAATCCTCTGAGCTCATCACAATTCAATATCCAATAAAAATGGGTTGTTTCTTTTGCCTGAAGGTTTTTTACGGATCATACTTTTTCATCCATCTCCGATAAAAGGATTCATTTTGGTGAAGCATTCCATAGACGACTTACTTCACATTAATAGGAAAAGTTACTGTTAGATTTCCTTTCGCCGTTCGCCTGTCAAAATAAAACCGATCATCTCAGTTGTGAAAAATGTTATCAGAAATCTCGATGAGTTTTATTTTAAACCAGAAGAACTGTTTGCGCGGCCTCCACTAAAAACAGCACAAGGAAAATCAGATAATATTTTCACGCTAGGACGGATATCCCTCGTCAAGGATTGCAACTTTGTGGCGCCGACATCATCATCGTACTGCGAGATACAATGAAGTTAACTTCACTGATCGGTGCTACGCTCAAAATGTACACAAATCTGGCGATAAAGGACAAGATCGAGAGGGAGTAGATCTAATTGGAGGGACGCAAAGAAAGTGAACCCCTATGGTAAACACAGTGCAAAACCTAACTGTGCATACAAACCGTTTCAAGCAGTGGTTTAGTCGCTGTCACCGGCGTGCTTTGGACCCTATGGTCCGAGGTTCGAGCCCC